CGTATCGTGTGCCGTTGGCTTAAATCCTGATTGGCTCTCGTAAGCGATCCAGTAGGAAAAATAGTATCGTGTGCCGTTGGCTTCGATTTTCACATCTCTAGTCTGACGAATCGTACATTTGTAGACATTCCTGTAAGTTTGTCACCCGAGTTTTACTTGCCGAAACGTTGCGTTTCATTGTAATAAAGAATCGCCAGTAAGGTCTCTCGTCTCCTTACGTATTAAAATTTCAGAATCGAGTGCCGAACGCTACGATAATGCCAGGTGTTCTTCCTGCGATTATAGTTCCTCTCGATAACAATACGGTCCACTTTGCGATACCGACTGACGTACGAGCGGAAACACGGTAAATTGTTCACATGCGCGTTATTACGATTTCTCCCGTCTGCACGTTGATAAGATCGCGCACGGAATCCATTAACCCGCAGTTAAAACCTACAATGATACGTTAACCCGCGGTTAGTGATTAGTATTAGAGTTACCGTTCATTACGCCCCGGACGGATAATGAGGCAGGCGTGGCAGCGGCGAGAAAAATCACGTTAATTCGGTGTTTTCAAGGCGAAGGTGCCTATCGGGCCGGACACGCGAGCTTTTCTTGCGGCAACGACGTCGCCCATAAAATTAGGAATCGCCGGGAAAATCGCGGCCTCCTCTTCCGTAATCGCTTCATTAGGATTTAAATCGGCGCGAGCGGATACCGGTGGGCGTCGGTTACCGCTGCATATGAAATTGGATCGCGCGCAAACAGAACTTGAATACGCGCCGCGACATTTATTGTGATGTAAGATCGTAAAGCGCGAGGACGACATTCCTGTCGAGTCACCCGTGAAAAAGCTTCCGCGTTGGGCGCCTCCGTCATCCCCGCCGGCGGCCGGAGTCGAAAAATCGGCAAATATCGCGGATGAGCGCTCGTAAAACCGAGATTAAGATATATCAACGGGATTTAATCGTTCAATTAAATGGGATGATCGATACTTTCCTCGATACGACGAACCCTGGCGAACGATGGAAGACCACGCGACGTGCAACAAACGATTCTTCTCGCCTCTCTGCGTTCTATAAATTACAGCAATTGTCGAGAAATTTGTTTTTAACTGCTGTAACAATGACATTTTATCACAACGAACTCGAGTTTCATGAGCAAAGGGTAAAACTGCTCGTTTGACCGACTCTTTCGCCATAGCGTTTATCAATGGACGTAATAACGTCTCTTGTTGTCGTCCTTAAAAATTACTAAGACCCCGACTGTCGTTCGAGTACACTTTCGGGAGACCCGAAGCCGACCGTGAAGAGGATTACATTGATCCCAGTTCGTGATCGAGGAAACTGGAGCATTTCCGCGATTATAATCCACGATGTATTGACAACAACCGAGAGCTGTGAAACCGGGAGGAATACAAGCTCCGGAGCTAGCTGTAAATTAACCGCACACTACGATCTGGTGTTCCTTGGTGCGTCATATTTTTGCTTGCGTATATATATATCACGTTATATACACACATAAGTCATACGTCGTGACGTATAGTTAGCATATCGCTGACACGATCTCGCGCATGTGTCGAAGCTCCGACATTACATCTTATTCTGCGCGCGATCTTTCTTTTCACGATCTATGAATACTGGAATTACATGTAATGGCAGACGTAATAAGTATCATCGAATCGTAGAGCGACTACCACAGGTGTGATACCAGTAACTTCGCGTGCATTTACTCGGCTTGATATCGTTATTCGCTGATATTAACGAGCCCCCTCGCGCAAATTAAATAGTCCGGGGAGGGGCTCGGCGAAGCCAAAGACAAATAGTACGTAATAAGTGGGCCGTCTGTGCCGCAAGGACTCGAAAGGTAAATTCCGGTGAAACGGAGCCCTGCGGACGGTGTGCCTCCAGTTAATTGAAGGCACTACGGTTCTAAATGCAATTCCGTTGCATCCAGCCATTGTACGGCATCACGCGTGTGCACGGGCAAACGCACGCACATCAGCAACTGTCGGAGCAGCTAGATCGCTCGTGATCGCTTCCTTTCTCGGTGCATGCAAACTAGTGCACGATCCTCCCGAGCACTGTGGTTAATGTCCCGTTTGATTGGTCGGCGCTCCGATGGTACGCGGCGAACGATCCACCGGCGACGATCGATCGCGAGATCGAGAACGGCCTCGTCTTCGAAACCCTATCCTTCTTCACTAATCCCGAATGATGAGCGTTTACGTTTCAGCTTAGATTCACTACGTCGGATCCTCGGATACTACGGGCGGAGTAACGCGACGGATTATTCGGCCCCGGTTTCAAACGAGGATATAAAGTATGTTTCGACCTCTCTCAAGATTTTATGCAATATCCTTGGACATTTTGCTCCCTTTCTCCGGGTATTTTTAAACGTGTCCGACACCGAGCACGCGCATAAAATCACGCGTGAAAAGCTGCGTGTTATAATCAGAAGATTAGAATTTAAATTGCGAATAAATCAGCGAAGTTTATTAGATATCGATATGAGAGATATCGATATCATTACTTGCTGATATCAATAAAGAACCGTAGCAGAGATGAACAAGAACCCGAGAGGAAACTGGGACAAAATGACGGGTGAGGCAAGATAACCAATAATTAATAACTCTCGAGATTGCCGACATAAGCGATAATACACGGCGAGCAGTAATTATGAAGTAAGCTACTGTGGAATATACAGCAATAAGTAATGCTGCTCTAAAACAGATCCTGCATTAAGGTTGTTGTATTCTCGATAGCCATGCTATTATCTTATACCCGTGCAAGATTCGAATACGATTAAATAAGTTAAAAGGATGCACGTCACATTTTCTTACAGTATTACCATTGTAAATTATTTATGTGCACAGCATATTATATTAAATTCCATATACGTATGCTTAAAAAGTTCAATTTCGCAGTTTATATCGTAGTTAAAAATATGTTAACAGTTTCCTATCGCGCCACGTTTCTCCACAATCAGATTATTCAATTGTTTTCTGTGCGCATTTCTGTTTACATCCCGCAAAAAGAACGTACGTCCCGTACGAAGCGAGAGATCGTGCGGAAAAAAGGGCAGATTATGCGCGCCAGGATGATAGCAGTTTCTACTACTTGCGCCGCGGCAAAAATGCAGCAGTGATTTGAGTTTGTAACGGGAGAAGACGGTATCTGTGCCGCGCTCCTACCGAAAGAAGACGGTATAATGGGGCAATTATTATTTAGGTCGGCGCATAACTTCTCGGAAGATCGGGTACCACCGAGTAGTCGGATAATAGATTAACCAGATACCTACATGTTGCCGTTCCGCTTCGTACTAATCGATTAGGCATTTTTGAGGGAGCCCCGCTCGCGCACGAGGATACGCTTTTTCGTATCGGCGTAGCGAATCGCGACCGAGCCCGTGAAAAACGCGCGCGCGCGCGGTGGGTAATATTTCTGATCTCCACGTAAATTAGTCGGTAATCAGTGCTTGATACGATGGCGGAAAATAATCTACCCTGGAGATCGAGCCACGATTTGGTATCGCGGTAAATTACATGGATTCATAAACGCATTATTTTAATTCACCGACCCGGGGGTATAATTAATGACAGGCTGCGACGACTGTAATTACGTTGGGTATTTTCCGGAAAAAATCTTGCAGGCTGGATTATTATAATATCAGGCCGGGTGTGGAATGTTGCGAGGGGAGGGAATACAATGGGAAAGAATTCATCGTGAAATTCGCGTGGCAAATTCGCCCGCAATAATTTGTGCGCCACGACAAAGAAGCCCGAGGATTACGATAAACAATTCACGCGCGCGCCGGACGAACTTAGCGGCGAACAATCGAAACGAGCTGAACGAAGAACGTTTTGCGAAATATACTTTTCTGCCGGCACACTCTCGACGCGTATCGGTGCCGCGGTGTTGAGCCGCAATATTCAGATTGTCTACAATTCGCGTGAAATGAATCAAGAAATCGTCACTTACAGAGTCATCTTCCGATCCATCCTCGTGCCGGCCATTCTACCCGACGATCGTCTTCAACCCCTCGCCAACGTCCGGTCGAGAGCAGCTTTCTGAGCGAGGATCACCCCGAGGTCTCTATCACGAATCACAGAATCACTCGTAGAAAGCGAAAGGCGCGCGTGGAGGGTATTACACGGGTGTATACGCGCGATTTCCGTTCACCACTCGTACGCAAGGCAGGTCCTCCTCCACTTGCGCGCGTCCGACGCGCGATATCCGTTTCCACTGCGGAAGTCAATCGGACATCCCGCGCGCGACGACTCCCCGAGGGCGACGCGGACGACAGTGGAGAACAGTGTGGTAAACGCGCACAGATGAGTTCTCCACCGAGTGCCAGTTCTCTCTTTCTCCTTTCTCTCCTCTTTCTCTCTCTCTCTCTTGCCCTCTGCCAATAGATCGAACGAACGGTCGCGGAGATTCGCGCGAGTGTATCTCACGGCGGTGCCGGCTGCGAGAGTGCGCCTAGAGCCGAAATAGAGCAACGTCTGCGCACTGTTGCCCGGCCGTAACACTCTGCTGAGATAACCGCCGCGCCGGTGGGCCGCAGTGCGCTCTTCTTCCACGGTCGCGGAAGGTGGGAAGATCAGGAGGAGAAGGACGTGGGGCGCGTAGAGACGTAGAGTAGAAGGTGACCGCGGTGACGGTGATGACTACGGTGGAGGTGGCGGTGATGTACTCGTGGTAGTGGAGAGGTAAGCGACGGTGGTGATGGTGATATGGTGGTGGCGGCGGCGGCGGCGGCGGCGGAGGTGGTGGTGGGTATAGCTTCGTGAGAGGATGCTCGCTGTATGGAGCACTGCACCGTAATGACATGGTCTAGGAGATGCCAGTCAGTTTTGTAATGACGACGGTAAAAAGTGAATTTCCACCAAGGTGGGGAAACGCGCCTAGGGCCAATCCGAGGGCCCGCTGCCCACCACCGGTGACCAATCGGAGCGCGACATTCCAGAATGCGACTATTCTTCTTCTTCTCCTTCATCTCCTTCGTCTTTGTCTTCTGCGTCGCCTTCGTGTTACCTCTTCTAATACTCTCCTACGGCATGACATCCGCCCCCTGTTCCTCCCCTGCCGCGCCCAAGGATGGCTCAGAGGTACGGGGCTTTGGGCGAAAGTCTTTGTGATGCTTCACGGTAGTTGTGGAAATTGAATAATCTGCAGCCATTATGTCATTACGTTCCATAAGTGTGCATTAAAGGGAAGTTGTTGATGGCAATAGTATAGTATGGGCAGCACAATATAATATAAGAGCGCGTTGCGTGCACTTCGAAACTGCTCCTTAAGTTCGGACGAGATACGCGAACGCGTTATAATTTCCCCTGGATTATATTAATTAAGATAAAACGATGTTTACTATTTTAATTAGTAGAGTAATTAGGTTTCCGCGACCTCCATACGCACTCTAATTAGTTCTAACGATCATTATATCAAGCGGAGACGCCTAATGAATTAACTTGTACTTGTTAGTTTTGTCATTTCGCGGGGATAGATACTCCAGTGATACTCATTGTGGCCGCGGTCTCGCGGTTTCCGCGAGATTGCCTCAATCGAACGACGCACAGCCCGTTCGTATTTCAGCAAAACTTACCAGCAAGACCGACGGGCGCAATAATCAGCTCTAATATATTCAAATACTTGGCGCATCTCCGGTTTTGCTATCGTACGATCGCACGCGCGTCCGTAACGGAGTGTTTTGATTCTCCGTGCGAAAACTGTTTCCTCGTTCGTGCCTTTTTTTTTTGTCAAATAAAACGATTCACAACGCGGACACCCGGAAAACGCGGGGATAAGAAAATCGCGGTTAACACTGACCCAGAATTTGAGGTAATCGGCCGGCCGCTCGCTATCGAGTCATCGTTTTGTGAAATTAATGCGAGCGCGTATAATCACTTTCTCCGCGAAGCGGCACACGGGAGGATAAGCGGCAACACGTGTCGGAGGAGCGTTATGAAAACCGAACGATACACCGCGCCGGGCAGCAACCGCGTCCCGCGGTGTTGAGCTCCAAACGAAACGCTACATTACGGTCTGGTATTATTTCGCCCGTCTCCGATGGTTTAAATTTAATCGTAATGGGCGGTACAGTTAAGGAGGTAGCTGTATCATCGGCAATATCCCGATAATGTATGCGCCGACGTCTCACTCTGGTATGATAATTGTCGGGAGACGTGGCGCTCGATATTGATATGAAAATGCCGCGATTCACGGCGCAGCAACATATGTTGCACGCATCAATACGCAGGAACGATAAGTCGTTCTTTATTGCATAACAGTAACGTATTTCTTAAAACCCGGCAAGCGCCGCTCGGCGCACATTCTCTCCGATATTCTTATTGCCTCGCATATCAGGACAGGTATGTTCAGGCAGGATACGTTTTACAGCTGTCGATGAAACTGCGAATAGACAAATTTTACCGTTCGCTTCCAACGTTTCTGTCGCACCGGCCAATTGATTGACAATTAAACGCTCGCGATCGTTCAATTGTCCGCTGAAAACTTCACCGCGGCCGCGCGGGTAAAGTGCGAGCGATTGCCCAACAATTTTTCTTTTCCAATTATAAGAAAAAATTTACAAACTGAAACCGACACACTTTTTCATAACTCCTCTCTCTCTTTCTCTCGCCCTCCCTCTTTTCTCTCCTGTTGATTATCAAGATTATAACTCATTACTATTCTCTCTTCCTTCCAGTTTATCGCGAGCAGTTTCATCTCATTTTACTTACTTTGCTTAATCAGCGCAAATTATCCGAGTAATCAAGACTCGGTTTGCCCGGGCTTGCGAGAGCGTAATTGTCCCTTTCCCATAGGAAGAGCGACACCGTAAGAAAACTCGACGGTTCAAATCATTCATTGGCGGCCTTTTCCGGCCGATTACAGTTACCGGCGTCGTTAATTTATTACGGACGATAAGTGCGGACACGTTGCGCGGATCCTCGCAGAAGCCGCGCGCATCGAACAAGTTTATCATTCTTTCGCTACGTACCAGCCGGTCCGTATCAGTGGACAATAAAGTAGAAACTTAAGAGGGAAACGGGGAATGCGAGGGAGAAAGAGAGCGGAAGGTGGGACGACGGGCGGGACGAGGGGTGGGAAGGGGGGGAAAAGCGGGGGAAAAGGAAAGAGACGGAAATAGAATAGGAATTCTCGAGCGCTTCTTCTTTCCAGCCGCAGTAAAAAGGGCTATTGTTCAGCAGGAACTACTGTCGCTTCGCGAAGCGTTTCCGCGAAGATTCCGCTTCGCACTCGGCTAACGGCATCCCGCGCATCGTCCGCAGGGAAATTGCCAAAGTGGCAGTACCGCCAGGCATTCCGCAATAGGTCGTTTCCGCGGCCACGGCGCGCAAGAAAGGATGCTTTTCCCGAGGCGGATCCTGCCGCTTCGACGTCCGAGCGGATCCCTTAGTGAAACCGATTCGTAAATCCGCGATTGGCCCCTTTTCTGTTATCGTTACAAAAATATCGCTTGATTAGATCATTTCGCTAGGACTTAAGCTTGACCAGTGATAAATCTAGAAACGCCGCATCGTTAAACAGGCAAAGGTAGAGACGAATTCTGGAAGAGTGTAACAATGTAAAAAGTATATGCATAAATCCCCCCCCCTCCCCCAAGTAAAATCGCTGAGCAATGCAATCGGTAGTTTTCATGCGGGAATTTTGCACAATCTCTGCGTTTCTACCTGTGTGTAATGCCAGAAACAAATGCGCGGTGCTCGCGTAACGGGAAGTATGCCCGATGAGACTTGCGAGATCGACGGCGGTGCGCGGAGACGACGAGCTTCTTGCACGGGGTGGTTTCGCGAAGCGAGGAAGCCACCTCGTTGACTACCACAAACGAGAGGCGAGGAGGAGGCGTAATGAACGATCGCGATTGTCTTGTAATCTCGATTTCCCGCGGCGTGGCGGAGCGTAGCGCACAGCAACGAAATTTACTTATCAAACCCAGAAGTGGAAGCCCCCTCGAGGAACTTTGACCTTGTATTATTACTCGACCAGCGCGCACGAACCCGTCATATATTTTCTCTATATGCAAAGTTATATGATGTGCTATTCGCAAAATGGCGTTTACGAAGGTACACATTACACGAAGCGATGATGAGCAGTCGAAAAACAATAAGACCGTGCAACGTAGACGCGCGAGGAATATTGAATATTGCGGAGGCGCCGCCGTTTCGCGAGAGGCTCCCGCGTGTTTGCGCGTTCGCATAACGGGAAACGATATCCAGCGATATTGACGAAATTGACGGCGGGGAGAAACTTGCGTGGCGGTGTTTTGCGCGATCCGAGGAAGATGCTGCGCGGCAAGTACGAAAGGAGAAGAAGAAGAAGCCGTCAAGGTTCCGGGTTCGATTCCCAGGGCTGCCACGGAGAAACGGCGCTTCACTCCCTCGCCGTGCGATCTAGATCGAGGAACTTCAAGTACCTACCGGAGCGCTGGGGAACACGAGCTGGTAGCGATAAATTATTGCACTACGGATGATTTGGCGAGGGCAGAGGTCAGAGCCGGCCGAATAAGAGGCGGCGCGGGGAAAGTGGAAGACGTAAACGCTCTTGCGTTACCTCCCTGACTAAAATTATATTAAGCGGCGCGCGATCGAGATCACGTTCCGAGTCTAGCGTAATGCATTCAGAGAACGAGACAGAGAATACGCTACAATGAGAGATAATTAAAAGATAACGAACTGAAGGAACACGCAACTCGGTGCGTTCACGCAAAATCGCATGTCGGAAGAAGCGTTAATCAATCGAAGATAAATCCCAATGATACATATGCGATCCGTCTCATAAGCATTGTATTTTTAACAACGAAAGAACGTGAATCGCCAGTAGTTGATTAACGATAAAAAGAATTGTTAGACGACTTTAGGCTGGCGGACGGTTTCTTCATTTAAATCCGACGCTTCGACCATACGGGTTGCGGTTCTTCTCAAGGAATTCAACAATAATGTTACGTCATTGATATTAAACTAAAAATCAATGACGCAATATTATTGCCGCAACGTCGGATTTAAATGAAGAAACCATCTGCCAGCCCAAAGTCGCCTAACAATTCTTTTTATTGTATTTTGAACACACCCCTCCTACGTAAAAATATGATATATATTTTTGTAATTGGAAGCTACATATACGCACATATTTAAAAAGTATATATACGTTTCGTACGAAGGAGGTTTACGATTTGGCATTATCTGAAACCTTACTTTCTAACAGGATAAATTTTTGTTACGGATTTTCCTTTATGTTCGATTGTACAACGCACCCAAGTCCTGTTCGCGGAACAATTTTTCAAACCGTTATTCCCAGGTATACGCAGATTTTCAGATATTCCTCCAATCAAACGTTCAAAGGGTCGTAACAAACCGAAGAACGGTAAAGGCGGCCATATAAAAAGAAATTATCCGTGAGAACTTCTAAAGAGATGCGCGATTGTGGCATCCCGCTCTGACGTAATCCGTAATCGCTGATAAAGAGATCGCCGTTCTCATATA